CTAATGGATACATGCACCCAGTGGATGGACGTGGTCAGAAGATTGACAGAAAAATGATGTCTGATAAGCAAAAGCGTGAGTTTAGAAATCATCACAAGGCCAGAACAATTCTTCTCAGCGCCATCTCATATTCAGAATATGAGAAAATATCAAACAGAGAAACTTCCAAGAATATGTTTGATTCTATGAGAATGACGCATGAAGACAACATTCAAGTCAAAGAAACCAAAGCCCTTGCGCTCATTCAGAAGTATGAGGCATTCAAGATGGAAGAAAGGGAATCAATAGAAACTATGTTTTCAAGATTCCAAATTCTTGTTGCTGGTCTAAAAGTTCTTGACAAAGGGTATTCCACTTCTGATCACGTTAAGAAGATCATCAGAAGCTTGCCAAAACAGTGGAGGCCAATGGTTACAACACTTAAGCTAGCCAAGGATCTCAATAAAATCTCTCTGGAGGAACTTTTTAGCTCCCTCAGAAGTCACAAGATAGAGCTAGAAGCAGATGAGCCTCAAAAGCAAGGTAAGCTATTAGCTTTAAAATCTAATAGAAAATATGACTCCAAAGTTGTGCAGGTTATGGAAGAAACCTCTGATGGATCCTCATCAGAAGAAGATGAATTGTCTCTTCTCTCCAGAAGGGTGAACCAATTATGGAAGCAGAGACAAAGGAAGTTCAGGAATCCCAGAAGATCAGAAAATCAGAATGAATCTTCCTCCAGATACAGAAGGTCAGAATCCTCTTCTGGACACAGAAGATCTGAAGGTTCTTCAGGATACAGAAAGCCAAACAACAAAGACATCATCTGCTATGAATGTAACGAGCAAGGGAACTACAAAAGTGATTGCCCAAAGCTTCAGAAGGAGAAGCCCAAAAATAAGTTTGGCAAGGAAAAGAAGAAAAGTCTCATGGCTACATGGGATGATTCTGACACATCTGAAGCTGACTCAGAATCAGATGATGAAAGAGAAAACATAGCTCTCATGGCAAACATATCTGAAGACAGTGAAGCTTCTGAGTCAGACTCTGAATCAGATACAGAAGAGATATCTTTAGCAGCAAAGCAAAGACACCAATCATGGTACATGGACTCTGGCTGCTCACGACACATGACGGGAAGAAGGCATATGTTCCAAAGCCTGGAGGCCACATAGGCTTTGGAGGCAATCAGAGAGGAAAGATTATTGGCTCTGGAACAGTAGGTAATGGAAATCTTCCCTCTATAAGTAATGTTTTATTAGTTGATGGATTAATGCATAACCTGTTATCCATAAGTCAATTGAGTGATAACGGTTATGATATAATCTTCAATCAAAATTCATGAAAAGCTGTTAGTCAGAAAGATGGGACTATCCTATTTAATGGAAAGAGGAAAAACAACATCTATAAAATCAAACTTTCTGAACTAAAAAGTCAGAATGTAAAGTGTCTTCTGTCTGTTAACAACGAGCAATAGATCTGGCACAGAAGATTGGGACATGTTAGTATGAGAAGAATATCTCATATTAACAAACTCAATCTGGTCAGAGGACTTCCTAACTTGAAGTTCAATTCAGATGCTCTGTGTGAAGCATGTCAGAAAGGCAAGTTTGCGAAACCTGCTTTCAAATCCAAAAATGTTGTTTCCACCTCTAAGCCATTTGAACTTCTGCACATTGACTTATTTGGACCAGTAAAAACTGCTTCAGTCAGTGGCAAGAAGTATGGGTTAGTAATCGTAGATGACTATAGCAGATGAACATGGGTAAAGTTATTAAGGCACAAGGACGAGTCACACTCTGTGTTTGTTACCTTCTGCAACCAAGTTCAGAATGAAAAGGATCTTAGAATCATCAAAGTCAGAAGTGATCATGGTGGAGAATTTGAAAATAAAGATTTTGAATTATTCTTTAATGAAAAAGGAATTCTGCATGATTTCTCTTGTCCTAGAACTCCCCAGCAAAATGGAGTTGTAGAACGAAAGAACAGAACATTGCAAGAAATGGCCAGAACCATGATCAACGAGACTAACGTTGCTAAGATCTTCTGGGCAGAAGCAATAAACACAGTGTGTTACATTCAGAATAGAATCTCCATAAGACCTATTCTGGAAAAGACTCCATATGAATTGTGGAAGAACAGAAAGCCCAACATTTCCTATTTTCACCCATTTGGATGTACATGTTTTATTTTGAATACAAAAAATTATTTGAACAAGTTTGACTCTAAAGCACAAAAGTGTATTACGTTAGGATACTCTGAACGCTCAAGAGGGTACAGAGTATACAATACAGAAACACAGATTGTTGAAGAGTCAATCAGTGTTCGGTTTGATGATAAGCTTGACTCTTAAAATTCAAAGCAGAATGAATTCCTTGCAGGTATGGAAGTTGAACTCACAGGTACTGAAGACAAATCATCAGAAGCTCTCAACAGAGACACTCCCTCAACATCAGAAAGAGTCACTGCAAGCAACCCAACACCTTCTGTTGATCGACTCCAGAAAAGACCATCCAGAAGCAGCATTGATCACACAGAAGAAAAAATCTTAGGAAGGAAGGAAGATCCAATCAGAACAAGATCTACCTTCAAAAACTCTGAAGAATCCCTCATGGGACTGGTTTCTCTGATTGAACCAACAACAATTGATGAAGCACTTCTGGACAATGACTGGATTCTGGCAATGCAAGAAGAGCTAAATCAATTTACAAGAAATGACGTATGGGATCTGGTTCCCAAACCAAAAGGATTCAACGTCATTGGTATAAAATGGGTGTTCAGAAACAAACTGAACGAACAAGGTGAAGTCATCAGAAACAAAGCACGGCTGGTAGCACAAGGTTATAGTCAGCAAGAGGGGATAAACTATACAGAAACCTTTGCTCCAGTCGCCAGGTTAGAATCTATCATACTTTTAATTTCATTTGCTGTTAATAAATGCATCACTCTGTATCAGATGGATGTCAAGAGTGCATTCTTAAATGGCTATATAGAAGAAGAGGTATATGTGCACCAACCCCCTGGTTTTGAAAGTTCCAAAAATCCAGAATATGTTTTCAAACTAAAGAAGTCACTCTATGGTCTGAAACAAGCTCCCAGAGCTTGGTATGAAAGACTAAGTAACTTCTTGTTAGAAAAGGAATTCACTAGAGGGAAAGTGGACAAAACCTTGTTCTGTAAGACAATTAAGAATGACATTTTAGTATGTCATATTTATGTTGATGACATCATATTTGGATCCACTAAACCCTCTCTGGGAAGAGAGTTTGCTAAATGTATACAGGCAGAGTTTGAAATGAGCCTAATGGGGGAACTAAAATTCTTTCTGGGCATTCAGATTAATCAAACTCCTGAAGGAACTTACATCCATAAAAGCAAATATGTCAGAGAACTTCTGAAGAAATTTGATCTCTCAGAATGTAAGCCATTAAGGATTCCAATGCATCCCACGTGCATTCTGGAAAAAGAAGAGGTAAGTAAAATGGTTGAACAGAAGGTCTACAGAGGTATGATTGGCTCCCTTCTGTATCTGACGGCCTCAAGGCCTGACATTCTATTCAGTGTTTGCATTTATGCTAGATTCCAATCAGATCCTAGAGAATCTCACTTAACAGCAGTTAAGCGAATTTTCAAGTATCTGAAAGGTACTACTAATCTGGGTTTGTTTTATAGAAAATCAAGTAATTACAGCTTAGTAGGATACTGTGATGCTGATTTTGCTGGAGACAGAGTAGAACGTAAAAGCACTTTTGGAAGCTGCCAGTTTCTGGGAGAAAATCTGATCTTATGGTCTAACAAAAGACAATCCACAATAGCTCTATCAACAGCAGAAGCTGAATACATAGTAGCAGCTGGATGTAGCACGCAAATGCTCTGGATGAAAAGCCAACTTGAGGACTTCAATATATTTGAGAGTAACATTCCTATCCTCTGTGACAATACTTCTGCTATTTGTCTTAGTAGAAATCCTATCTTGCATTCTAGGGCTAAGCATATAGAAATAAAACATCATTTTATTAGGGACTATATTCAGAAAGGGATTCTAAATTTAAAATTCATTGACACAGACCATCAATATGCTGATGTCTTTACAAAACCTCTTTCTGAAGATAGGTTTAACTTCATTCTGAAACATCTCAGCATGAAGCTTTTCCCAGAATAAACCGTTTTATTTACATATCTTAACTTTCTGAATTTTGGTTATTTTCTGTGAACTACTGATCAATCTGCCTTCAGAATGTTAGAAGTACAGATTGTATCAGAATCTATCCATGAAGATCTGAGCGTTTCATTTCAAGGATAAAAGTGTACTGTTCACGTAAGCAAACAATTGTCATCCATTCACCAGCTACCTTCTGAGGCTGAACACGCGTTCTCTTTTCGGAAAGGTCAAAAGCGCTGATTGGGTGCATTGAGACACATGTCATGGGTAATCGTTCCAATATCTTTCTGAATCCCCTAAAATCAGTTGTCATTAATGCTTATAATCATTACAATTTATTTCTCTCTCTTGCAATTTATGTTTTCAAAATCTATTTAAACGCATTTTTCACCCTTTACACTTTTTCACTTTCTCTACAATCTAATTGTTTTCAGTTTGCATCTCTCAAAAACCCTTTCATTCTCTTCTCAAACTTTTCTGTGTGAACATGGCTTCCTCAAGTATCCCTAATACCAGTACTCATAGAACAGAATCCACAGAACAATATGAAGAACCATTCAGAACTCTTCTCACGCCCATTGACAACTTAGAAGTGCTTTCAGAATTGATTGTGGATTTTGAAAGTCTTCAAGAAAATGGATTCAATCTTTCTGAAGAGGTAAAGGCTCAAGGATGGAACAGGTATTTTGACCGTCTTCTAAGTCCAACGTTCCCAATACTTGTGAAGGAATTTTGGATTCATGCTTCATCCTCCAACCATCAAGTCACTTCGTATGTAATGGGGAAGAAGATAGTCATAACTGAAGATCTTATTGCAAGACTGATAGGTTAAAGAGGTGGTGGTGTAAGGTGTATAGACATGGCTGAAAGATGTGCTGATGTTGCTTCAATTGCTAGAGAAATTTTCACTCTGGGTATTCCCTCCAGCAAGATAAGGGATCTGAAGGACCATCATAGAATATGGGCTAAGATTATTCTAGGATGCATAAACCACAAGAAGCCAACCAGCTCTCCTGACTACATAAACATTGATCAGCAGTTTCTGATCTACTTCATCTCCCAGAAGACTAAGGTGAATCTGGCTCATTTGTTGTTCAATCATATGAGGACGAGTGTTAAGGATACTAGAGAAGAGGAGCGCACTAAAAGGGACTGGATACCCCTTGGAAGGCTCATATCAGATATTCTGACAGAGAATAGGCTGATAGAGCATCTAACAGAAGCACAGGAAATCAGCTCTCTAGAGGCAACTGCTGGGAAGCCTTTAAATACAAAGAATCTGAAAAAGATGAAGATTATTGAGAACATCAGAAAGGAACCCAATGTTACATCCTTTGTAACCATTACATCTAGAAGAATCCCTCTGGATGATTTCCCTATGTTCTCAGAAATTGATTCCAAGCCTGAGATTATCGTTAGATATCTGGATGCATGCAAGGCAGATGGTACGACACCAGAGTTAAATATTCAGGACTTGCAATAGAAGGCTCCAGAAGTTGTGCTGAAGAAGAACAAGAAAAGGAAAGCAGCAACAGAAGGATCATCTCAGCGGACTCCTAAAGCTGCTAAAAGGAAAGGTAATCCTTCTACTGTTAATGTTTTAGAATCAATTACTATATCAACATCTGAACCAATACCTACCCATTTAGAAATTCCTACCCCTCAAACTTTTGATGATTTTGACATAGGTTTTGACCCCTCTGAAACTCTAAGTCTTAGAGGAACTCACTCCCTACCTATCAATCCAAATACTGAAACAACTCAACCAGAACTTGCAAAAGTTCTATCAGATATTGAAACTTTTGACCAAAATATTTCTGCTCCCATACCAGAAAATCCAAACTCTGAAACCACCTCAGAAGCACCACAACCAGAAATACCACTACCTCCATCTCCTCAACAAGAAATTCATCCACCTTCTCCACAACCTGAACAATCACAACCAGAAGTTCAAACTTCTGAGGTCCAACCTTCTGAATCCTGTGAACCAGAACCTCATAACATTCAATTCAACCAAACTGTTGATTCTGATACCATTCCCATTCCTGGAATCACTGAACCTCTGGCCATCCGTATGCCCCTGACCATTCTGGATATTCCCCAAATTCCCTCTTCACTAGAATCAACTCTACCAAATTCCCCAACTAGTCTAATAATTATTCCAGACTCTCCCACTCCCTCACCAAAGAACAATCCAGATGACAACGCCAAAAATGTCATTGATTTAACTGTTTTTGAACGCCTTGCTGCCATAACTCACAAAACAGCCATTCCAAAACCAAAACCATCTGAACCCACACCAGATGTTGGTACTAGTTTAATGATGTTTGAAACAGAAATGCAGAAATGGATAACCTCCCTAAAGCAAGCTAGTCTTGAGATGATTAATCCTGCTGCTTCAGATTATCTTTGGACAAGTTTAAGAAAATGGATAAGTTCTGAAACTCATAAGATGCAAGAACAGAGCTACGGACAAGTTCAACAGAATTTCAGTAATCTGCTAAAGGTAATTGAAGATCAAGTTCTGAGCCAACTGCTCAAGGAAGAAGTTCTCCCTCTGGACAATGCTCCCTGGTCAGAACATCGTCCAATAGACAAAGTTCAACCAGAGTCAGAAGGTCTCATTCTGACTGATACTCTAGAGCAAATGATTCTTGCAGAGGAACTGGTTCAAAAAGATGGCGTTGCAGGATGCTCAGAGAAGCATCCAGTTACTGAAGATTCTCAAGCTTCCTCTTATGAAAGGCAGATTCTAGAAGAACTGAAGAGAGCAGATATTATTATGCAGGAAAGAATGGATAAACAGGATGATAAAATTTCAGAAATCAAGAGCATTTTAACCAAACAAGAGGAAACCAACACCCAGATCAAGGGCTTGTTGGAAACTTTGTTCACGCGCCTTCCTCCTCCATCTTAGATTTTCCTTTGTTTTAAAATTTGTTTATCTGTAATATTTTCTACATTGCTATTGTTCTGAACATCTTATCGTTGCTTCTAATTTTAATATGAATCCTTTTTGGCTCTGATTATATGTTCTTTTTGATAACTGACAAAAAGGGGGAGAAAGAATAAGATATTTTCAATAACGGATTACTGAGACATAAGTATCAAACATTCTGATCTACTCAATTTCTTTCTTCTGAAAAGCTTGAACAGGTACAAAACTCTGATTAAAGACGTAGTTAAATTCTGATGCTCAAGGACTCAAAGAATTTAAGGGAAGTAATCAACTCAGGGGGAGTCTTTCTTCTTAATTCTATACTTTTTATTCTTTATTTCTAATTGAAAAATCTGGTTTTTGTCATCATCCAAAAGGGGGAGATTGTTAGAACATAGTTTGATTCTACAACCCTTGATTAGAGTTTTGATGATAACAAAATACAAAGAATAATTAAATTCAAAGATATATACAAAGAACAATTATGCTCCTTAAAATTATGTTTTGTATATGCAGAAGTTTTGATGGAATCAGCATCAGAATGAAATCAGCATCAGAAGATCAGCAATATGTGGTACACGCTGAAGCTACCAGATTATACGCTGAAGCTTAATGACCAGAATCTGCACCTAAACAAGTACACTCTGACTCTGATCAAAGACATCTTTACCAATTCATCAACACTCTGAAGCGTTATCAGCAGTTAAAGCAAAGAAGACTCTGAAGCGTTATTAATGATTCAAGACAGAATTAAATGCTAACAGCTTTCTTCAGACAAGATCTTCTTCAAAAGGAAAGTGTGTTATTATCATTAAACTTGCTTTATGGATAACGTATCTTTGCCTTGCCTATATAAACAAGTCTGCTTGTGAAAAGAAGCACGTACGTACGCACACAACAATTTGCCAAGCCTTCCAAACCACGCATATTCAAAGCTTTAGCAAATTCATTTTATTTCAAGCTTAATTTGTGTAACTATCACAGTTGTGATATACTGTTTTATTAGAAAACAACAACACACTATTGTTCAATTATTTGTAAAAGATTTCCTTGAGATTAACCGGCTTGTGGTTGTACTCAAGAAGACTTTAACAGTTGTTAAAGTAGCTGTTGTAATCCTTTGAGAATTGTGGATTAAGACCTCGTTGGAGAGAGGCGAAATCACCTTGATGGGTGGACTGGAGTAGTTTGAGATCAAATGAACCAGGATAAAAATACTGTGTCCTTAAGCTGTTAATATTTGATCCAAGTTTTTCAATTCAACCCACCCCCCCCCATTCTTGTGTTTTTCACATCTTCAATAGCATCCGTGTCTGGAGCATCTCTAAGCTGTATCATGATTGTATATTGGTAGCTTGTTAATCTTATCCTGAAAAGGGTAAAATGTTAGCTGGAACACAAAGTTATGTTGCATGAAATGTTTGATGCAATATATGTGTTTTATCAATGTTTATGATATATGACTGTAATGTATGCGCATGTAAGCTGATTAGCTGTCTTGCTGAGGAAATGAAATCCTTGATAGTCGGAGATAATAAAATCCTTGACTGCTCCCGGGGAAAATAAATCCATGACCATCGCTGGAGATTCAAAATCTTTGACAACTTCTGTGGGGATGTGAGAATCCTTCTTGACTTTCCTGGGGATATAGGGATCCTTCAAGTCTTTGGAGTTGGAGTAATGACAAAATTTGTTGTGAGAGTAATGTCAAACTGTTGCTTGAGAAACCTGCTTGGGGAATCTGAGAACTTTGATGACTATGGTTGGAGATTTCACAATGGTAATCCTTACTCGGCTGGGGAATAGGGAAAACTCTGGCGATCTCTACCGGGGATTAGACAAAGGAAAACCTTGATCTGCTGGAGATAAAGGAAGACTCTGATGGCTTCCGCGGGGAATTAAGAATGAGAATCTTCAATCCGCTAGGGAAATTTGAATCCTTGGGGACTTCATGCTGGGAAGTCAAGAATGAGAATCTTTGATCTGTAGAGGATTAAAAATTCTGACAAATTCGTGCTGGCGAGTAATGAAGACTCTAGCAACTTCATTGAGGAATCAAGAATAAGAAACTTCATCCTGTTGGGGAGTAAAAACTCTGTGGGGAGTAGCTATACTGCTGGGGAGATCAGGAGTTTGGGTGTATGCCAATCTACTGGGAGTCAAGAATGAGAATCTTCATTTTGTTGGGGATATCAGGAGTTTGGGTGTATGCCAATCTACTGGGAGTCAAGAATGAGAATCTTCATTCTGACGAGGATATCAGGAGTTTGGGTGTATGCCAATCTACTAGGAGTCAAGAATGAGAATCTTCATTGTGATGGGGATATCAGGAGTTTGGGTGTATGCCAATCTACTGGGAGTCAAGAATGAGAATCTTCATTCTGACGGGGATATCAAGAGTTTGGGTGTATGCCAATCTACTGGGAGTCAAGAATGAGAATCTTCATTCTGACGGGGATATCAGGAGTTTGGGTGTATGCCACTTTAAGAATGAGAATCTTCATTTTGTTGGATATATCAGGAGCTTGGGTTGTATGCCAATCTACTGGGAGTCAAGAATGAGAATCTTCATTCTGACGGGGATATCAGGAGTTTGGGTGTATGCCACTTTAAGAATGAGAATCTTCATTCTGTTGGAGATATCAGGAGTTTGGGTTGTATGCCAATCTACTGGGGAATTATCCTAGGCTGGGGATAAAAGTTAACTATTATCTGGTTGATTTCCAGGCTTTAAGATAACTTGCTAGGGGATTTGGAGAAACCAGATGATTTCTGTTGTGGTTGATAGTTTAAGCTCCGCTGGGGATCTTAATGACGTGCTGTAGAGATTGTGTATGGAAATGGGTTTAAAGATGCCATCCAAAGGTGATTGTTGATGGAAAGTTTGAACTGGATCCGAACAGAGAATGAATAAGAATAAACCGTTGAGAGATTTATCTGAACCAGCGAAATATGGAAATGAATCAGAATAAACCGTTGAGAGATTTATCTGAACCAGTAAAAGTATGGAATATCTCCCACTGGGATGAGGACCAGAGAGATCTTAGTGTCGATCTGACTGAACCAGAGAGGGTCTTGAATTAACTTTGACTGGATAAGAATCAGAAAAATCTTAGAATTGATTTAACTGATCCAGACGAAAGTCTTGGAATATCTTCAACTGGAATAAGAATCAGGGAGATCTTAGTGTCAATCTGACTGAGCCATAGAAGGTCTTGAATTAACTTTGACTGGATAAGAATCAGAAAAATCTTAGAATCGATTTAACTGAGCCAGACGAAAGTCTTGGAATATCTTCAACAGATGCCGGGGAAAATAAATCCTGGATTGTTGTTGAAGAGTATGTGTGTCTTTAAACTTTGCTTAGAATGTTTCCAGTGGGGATTCCTGTTTCGTTGTTTGAGGAGGACTCCGATGGGAAATGTTGATCTTTGTCTTGAGAGAAATAGAATTTTAGGATCTTCAGTCGTCCGTTATTTTACTGGGGTACCACCTCTGTTGAATTTTGGGAACCTCGGTCGTCCGTTATTTTGTTGAGGAATCATCTCTGTTGAATTTTGGGAACTTCGATCATCCTTTATTCTGTTGAGAAATCATCTCTGTTGAATTTTGGGAACTTCGATCGTCCGTTATTCTGTTGAGAAATTATCTCTGTTGAATTTTGGGAACTTCGATCGTCCGTTATTCTGTTGAGGAATCCTCTTTGTTGAAGAGGAAAGTTGGATGAACTACTATCTGGTCGTGGTCCAGGATTCATAGCTTGAATTTTGTGAGAATTTGATTGCATCTTTCCTAAAAGGTAAAGGTTAGTTGCCTGACATATATCAAGCAATGATGTTCTCAAAATAAATGAGATTGCATTGTATGATGTCCTGATGTACGAATATGCAATGTTTTCAAGATGATCTCTCGCTGGGGAAAATAAATCCCGAATTGGTGCTGGAGAAAAGAGTTGAATTCTGGCGACTTCAATGGGAAAAAATTCTCAGGAATTCTTGAGGCCGACTTAGCTGGGAAGAGGTTATTGAAACTCTGGCTGGGATTCCTCTTATGCGAAGGATTTTGGAGAGATTTGTCACTGCCCCAAGTAGCAAGTGTTTATGGCTTTGCCAGGAAGTATTTGACTGTATGTAACCCTTTGTTGGGATTGACGTTCAATGCCCCAAGTGACGGGGATGGAGACTTGCCCCTTGTTATTTTGCACTTGATAGATTTCTTGAAATCTTGACTGGATTGCCCCAAGTTACTCTGCACTTGAGAGATTTCTTAAAATCGTGGTGGACTGCCCCAGGTGTGCCGGACAATGACATGTTATTTCCTCTTGTTGATAGGATATTTTTGCAACGGAAGTGTCATCCCACTTGAAGTGATTTCGTTCACTGAGAGAGCTTTTGTTCGTCGGATATTCACTGTGTGAATTTCTTCGCTGTCAAACAAATAGCCATATGCAAACAACGATATTCAAATAATGCAAAGTTTATGCTTGTCTTGAAATTTTGAAAATGCGTTTTTTAGCAGAAAACTTTTGTAAGAAAAATTCTACTTAGGATTTAGAGCAAAGCCTTACAAGAGTCAGGATACCTTTTGTAACAGTATGCTTTCGAACTAACCCATGCTTCAATTAGGACTTTTGAAGGGTTGTAACGTGGCTTAGTTCACGGTTTAAGAAACAAAGGATAAAGACTCAAAGTATATTTGTACCCACCCGCTCTTCGTGATGTTCTTCATTCCTAAACTTAGCTTAATTATGCGTTTGAACTCCAAATGAGTCTGGAACGAAATTTTGGTGATGGTTCACACAAGTTGAATTTGTTGGAAGACAGTCATTTTTGCAACATTATTTTGTTGAGGATTTGTAGTGACCTCTTTCTTTTTTATTTGTTATCCCTAATGTTTTCCTGACTGTTCCTGTTTTTTTTATTTACAGTGAGCAGGATGCCCCAGTTTTCTTAAACCTCTTTTGTAGGTTTTGACTTAGT